ATCCCAGAAACCCAAGCCCCTCCATCACTTTCTCTAGAAATCCTTCCTATCTAAGGATGAGCTAAATGCAGCCTCCACCAAGGAATTGTTCTTGATTTTCAATGACTAAAATAAATGCCATTTCTAGAATCCCAAAATATTGTGTTTCCATCTTCTTTGTAGATCAATCATATTCTGAGTTGATAACCTTTTTTTTTTAACAAATTCTCATATGAACATAATACTTTGTTAAGAAAGAATTCTAACTTTATTTTGTATTTCCTTCCTACCTAGCATAGGATCATGTTCTGTATAGATTATGAATGTATGGGTAGATGGACAGAAGAATTAATAAAAAGATTTAAGAGTTGGGAATCTTGTTTGTAACTGTCTGTAATTTCACTTGTTCATAGGGCTTTATCAAATAATGAATTTAACAATCAAAGTTTATCTGTTTAGAGTTATGATCTGAGACAGAGTTGAGGACTAATAATGAAGATGAAAAGAAATCACCACAAGGCATTGAAGTAATCCCTTCACACTTAAAAAAGAGAGAGAGGTAATGTCCAAATTCTCCATTCATATTGTGTCTAGAAAACCAAAGGATTTATTGAGCTTAGATAACTCTTGGAGAGAGATCAAGACAAAACACCAGGAAAGAAGAAATGTCTTCCCCTCTATGCTTTTAAAGAAATGGTAGTATTCTTCTAAAGGAGAAAGATGTAACAGAGTAAGTACATAAAAATTTTTAAACATTCAATGCAAAGCTCCTAAAAGCCTTAAAAAGAATTTCTTTTCATCATAGTAAAGTATCAAATTATTTCTATGTCACTTGGGTTGAATGGTCAAAAGTTCTGATGCAATTTAATGCAAGGTCCCACCTAACATAATTAAGTACTTAGTCATCCTTGGCTGTAGAACACTTAAAATTTAAAGCTTAAAACTTTGTGGTTATGACTAAGAACATAAAAGTGAAAATACTTTTCAAAAGATTTTAAGTTTCATTAAGACCTGCTTGATTGAAGTGTAAAATCATTTGTAATTGATAATATTTACTATTAATCAAAGGTTAATCTGGATATGCATGTACACAGCTTGTACTTTTAAATCGGAGAAGATTTTACAAAAGTTTTGCAAAACTAAATAGCATTGGCTGCTATTGATTGCCATTTTAAAAACTTGCTTATTAGTATTTTTTCTTATATAAAATTATAAAAATAAATTTTCTCATGTTAAGAACGAAGAAAGTATGAATATGGTTTTATAGCTTCAAAAAGGCATAATATAACACTCAAATAATCCTCTGATGATCATGAAAATCCCAAATAAGTCTCAAGAAGACACAAGAAAAGGCTTGGAGTAGTAAGCCAAGATTTGTGAAATGAAATTGATTTCCATTCAAATCAGGTCTTTTACTCTTCTTGAAAATGTCAAGGTGTCAGCCTTGACCACTACGAGACTGTGATTTATAGTTGAGACAAAGTGATAGTACCAGCTGACTGTCTGGAGCCATGGTACAGTGTCTGGGAAGGCTGCCCATGACAGCCATCTCTTTTCTTAACCAATCAGCAAGGCTATGTAAGACCCGAGTCTTTTTTTCTCTGTCTTGATAAGGGAATGATAAAATACTATCTGGAACATTTACTTTGTGGGATAAAAACAAGCATTGTAAAGGGAAGTAGGTATCATTTTTCCACAGAACAAATTGCAAACATTATTTATGGCAATCTATACTTTAGCCCTTTAGAAATACGTATTCATAATGGGACCATAAACAGATGTTCCAAATATGATAACTTATTTTAATATACTGGAAGCCACAGCATAATTTTGTAATTGATTAATTAGTAAGAAGAATTGTGAATGTTAAAATACATTTTCAAACTCTCTAAATTATATTTATGACTTTGCTCATCTGCATCACAACAAAAGCCCAAAATGTTTTGCATTAGAATCATTATTCATAGTAAATTAATCTTTTCATCATTGAGAAAGATTCCTAAATAGTAGTTGACAGTAAAATGTTAAAAACCACCCAGGTCATACTATGATAAATAAAAGAGCAAAAAAGTAAAGGATAATAAATAAGAATCTAACATCCTTATTTTATAATTGTAGCCATCATATACAAATCATATATACACACACACACACACACACACACACGTATATATAATGCACATATATGTGTATAATACTAGTAGAGGAAGAAATTACTTCATAAACAAAAATAAAAATTTCCAAGAATCAACACAATTCTCTCTAACACTGGAGATAAAAGTGAGAAGAATATAAAATTTGCTATAAGAAAATGGCCTGAACATAAGGTAGCTAAGGATAGACACAATAGGCTACAGAAAAAAATCATCAGGCTGGGCATGGTGGCTCACACTTGTAATCCCAGCACTTTGGGAGGCTGAGATGGGTGGATCATGAGGTCAGGAGTTCAAGACTAGCCTGGCCAACATAGTGAAACCCTATCTCTACTAAAAAAAAAAAAAAAATACAAAAATTGGCCAGGTGTGGTGGCTCATGCCTGTAGTCCCAGCAACTTGGATGGCTGAGGCAGGAGAATCGCTTTAACCCAGGAGGTGGAGGTTGGAGTGAGCCAAGACCACACCATTGCACTCTAGCCTCAGTGACAGAATGAGACTCTGTCTCAAAAAGATAAATAAAATAAATAATTAAATCAATCATCATTTCTTCTTTACCAAACTGATTCTAGTAATCCTAAATAATTTTTAATATTTCAAATTCCTAAATGAGACCAAATGCTGACTTTCATGGTATATGTCATCTATTAAATGCTTACAGAAAGTGTTAATAAAGGTAATTAATTTCATGACACTTAAGGCTGAGATTTGCTGCAGAAAATGTTTTATAGTTTCCATGCTGTACAGAGGACATTTGGCAGAATAAACTGAAACTGGCTGCAGATTGATAGGTATCAGTAAGTTTACCAAGACATTTTCAAAAGCCTATCAATCATTATTATACTCAGTGATGAAAAATTGTGCAGTGGTGGTTGTGTGTCCCAGTACGTTCCCACCTGCTTTAAATTCCTTTCACTTTCTATCATTGACAGACCCTCACTCATCCTCATCACCTGAATAGGCTAGTCTTCTTTTGCTTCCCTACATTAGCCATCCAATCAGAGTAGCCCTTGTTTATCAAATACTGTAAGTGGATCCACAGATGGGCATGTCACCAAAACAGAGCCAATCCAAGATTTTCTGACAACTGAAACTGATGCTGGGTAAAGGGAACCTTTTTGTTTGTTTTTTTTTTCTGGATTCACAGACTGTAGGATGATGCATGATGCAAGTCTGGAGTGGTGGGTGGCCATCTTTGCTACCACATTGAGAAAGCTTACCTGAGAATGAAGTCAACACTGGACAGAAAGAGAAAGAGAGAGAAATATCAGGTGAGAGGGAGAGGCAGCACCAGCAGAGAGAACTTGGGGGAGGGTGTGAAGAATAGATGCATTAATGAATAAATATCTTATTTTAAGCTGACAAATTGTACTTAGGAACTGATGAATTCCATGTGGGCTTCATTCTCAGGTAGAATCTCTCCACAATGGCAACAAAGATGGTCACTAGTAAGCCTATGCCTCCATTCTCCTTAAAACTTGAAATTCTTGAGGTCAAAGGAAAACCCTCTTTTTTTCCAATATCTATGTTACTTTTAAAAGACAATATTAAGGAAAGCCTGCATGAAATTTCATTCATCAGTAAAGACCACACTGGCCTTGAATAAACTTTATAAGCAATTTTTATAAAGAAAGTCAACATTGGGGTCAATAAAATATATTTTCTTATAAATGTGGGTATTCCTTATAGAAACACATGTCTTATAGATAGGTAAATAGTAGGCAGAGAATTTCCTGACTCAATCACTAAGAGATAAGGTAGGGATTACTTTTTATATCTTAAATTTAGAAACACATAGTCCTGTTATTTATCAGAAAATTGCTCTTTCAGAGTTACATATAAAATATTTTAAATCATAGAGCTGAACACAAGAAAATGAACTGGAAAGAATATACAAGTTGAACATTTTTCTTTCAACGTAAGATGAGCATTTGTTATATGTCTAATTGCAAAAAAAAAAAAAAATTATCTCTTTGTCCCATGAATATATTTGGTTGTTTTTAGTCAGTGCACTAGGCGGCCTTCACTAGAGAGCATCCCATGGAAAGAAAACACGTTTTCTTTAAACATGAGATACAATTCCTTTGAGATTCTATTAATCACTTTTCCTCTCTAATTGAAAAAGTCACCACATAAATTAGAGTACAAATTTCATTCTTCCAGAAGGAATCTTAAAAGTTGACATTTCTTTGAACAATTGTTTCAGAAATCCTTTTTTAAGTACATTTTCATTTTCTGGCATGGCTTGAATTGAATTCTAAACTTTCGGCTGCTTGTCCTCTAAGCCCCTCTGGTGAATTTAAATAGGCTTCCCTATATATTTAGTACATTCAAGAATTCTTTGTCACACTGCCTATTCTGCTTTATTATTAGAGAGCTGCCTCGGAAGTACAGCAGCCAGTTTGTTTTCTGCCATTAATAAAGAGTCTACTTTTTTTTTTTTTCCACTTCTTTGAAGAAGTTGAAAAGGCTCCATGTTGGGTGGAGGGGGGCCAGGAAGAGAAGGAGAAATGGAGGGAACTGACTGTGGTATAATCCCTCAACAAAAAATGTCGTCTAAAGTAGAAACCTCCCCGAGGTTCACAAATGTCCAGGCTGGGCTTGAGTGTGATGTATAACAGAGTAATAAGTTACCTACAGACTGGTCCCCCCACCCCTAAGACTAGGAAGTGTACTACCAGTAAGGCACGGCATTTCAAAATTCTACAAAATCAAATGCTTCCACTGGCCAGTGTTTCAATGCCACCAAAATATTTTCCTGAAGATATCTAGATGCTGTAAAAACAACCACAATGTAAATCTATAATGTCTTATACTTCACTTGTATGTCTAGAACAAATACATGGAAGGATTTCAATAAGGATCTACCAATTTGGATGTATAAACTACTAATGTTGACTCATGGCCTAGGGAAAGCTAATTCAAAGGCAAGGACAGAGGATTCCACAGAGTAGTCACTTGATGCTCACAAATCACCAGACACCTATTGACAAAAAGGGAGAAACTTCTTAGAAAAGAGGCAAAGGTAAATCTGCCTACACAAAAGACACCAAAACACCTCAAAAACCTTATATGGCCATGACAAAACCTAGAAGTTTTTATTCTTATTTACTTGACCTAATGGATATAGTCCATAATTATCTTACACTTGTTTTGTTTGTTTAGGAATTATTAAGGTAACAGACTTAAAGTCACATTACTTATATCAGTAATGAAAAATTTAGTTCACCTTATCAGAAATTTTCACTTTTAAGTTGTCCATAAAATATGCATGAAATTAACTGTGTATATAACATGAAGCTATTTAATCTTAAATTCACTTAATCTCAATTACCTTCAAGTTCCACCTGCTTTCAAATTCCTACAAGTAAAATATTATATACAAGTTAATATTATTGGCTGATAATGTACTCCATCTCATAAAGTTACCTTTAGCATGTGGAGATGTGGGGGAAAGCAACATTTAATTAAAATTGAAGCTAGTTCATTGAAGAAATGGTGTGAATCATTTTATGATGATATCTCCAATTTTATAGTGTTTTACTAAACCTTTAAAAAAATAAAGACATATAGGAAATATATATATGACCCACTGTATTACTTGGTCATTGAAAGATAAGAAAACTAAATATGAAGATGATAGATAAAATGGTACCTAAGTTTCTACATACTAAATATGTTATTTCCAGAGCTACACTAAAAGTCTATTTTTCAAATGTTTACAAAGGCCCAGGAATTTTTTTTTAAACTTCTCTATATTAGGAACTCCGTTTTCCTTATCCAAATGCAGTCTCTAAGGGATCAGTGGGATTTGAGTGCTAAGTTAAATGTCTAGTAAAAAATTAAACAAAAGAATCCAAGCAATCAAAATGATGCCTGCATTTGCTGCCTACAGAAATGTAGGCTGCACTGCATGTGTAAATGGCAAGAAAATTTGGGTGTTAGCTAACCCTTTATATACTGCTTTTCTCAAGACTCATCCAAACATGACAGCTTGTAAAATCATTTACATATTTAGGGTGTATTAGACCAAGCCTAGGCACATGTACCAGCATGCCTATTTGAAGAGGAGTTTAAGGCAGAACACACCCTTTCTAATTTCATTAGTAATTAACTTGTACTATAATTCCCCTGAGATACTTATTTCTCTTCAAGACATTATTAATGTAGCCTAATGCCTAAATGATTTAAGAATATCTCTACACCTCTTCTGTAGCTCCACTGGAATACTAAAATGTTTGAGACTTTTATACTGAAAAAGATATTGATCCCATAAACTCTGAAATGAAATAAAATCATATTCAGATTTGGCAAAATTCCAGAGTGGCTTCCTGGATGGATCCTAAAAGCCTTTAAAAAATGCTATTTTGGAAAATTGATGTTTTCCTTAAAGAGATTAAAAGTTAAAAGCATGAGTATCACAATATTATCAGAGCAATACAAAAAAAGACAAAAGAAAAATACTTCATTCGTCTTTGGTAGATGTTTAAGTTGAGTGATTTTTTTTTTTTGCTAAAAAAAGGAAATTGAAGTTGACAGTAAATTAACAAACAATATGGAAAAGAAAATGAATCAGGCAGGGTTAGTATATTTATGTAAAACAATGATTTGCTATTTCAAAATTAAAATGTACAAATAAGCTGGTGTCAGAAAGGAGATGATTCCTCATTTCCACCGCATTGAGCAAGCTTATATCGGCAGCAGACAGCCCTTAATATATGCGTCTGGCTCAGGCTGGTCTCCCTACCAGGAAGCCATCGAATTGTTAATATCACTGCTTTTTTTGTATGCAACACACATCATTTTCTCGCTCTTTGTTGTAGATCTCTCCTTTTATTTTAAGCTTAGTATGATCTGATTTTCCAAATCATATCATAAAGCCCTAAAACAATATTATTCTGTGACAGCGGAGACAGAAATACAGAAAAAGTGGCATCTGTCTATGGTCATACAGCATAAAGTAGCTTATATAAACAAAGTCACCCACTTAAATCTCTGCACACCTTTATGAGGTAAGAGAAGAGCTTTATCAATGAGGCTCTCAAAAGACAGTTATCATAGGAGGGTTACATAGAGAAGTTCCAATCATGTAGTATTATCAGTAAAAAATTTTTTATATGTTTATGGTGAAAATGAACAAACACCATTGCATTCTCAATTCAGCTTTGGTATATTTCTTTTATGAGACAGAAGTTGATATACAGTGTGGTTCCTGAATATGGTAACATTAAAACATTTTCACATTTCAATAACCTATATCTGATATCACTATAGCTAATAAACATCTACCTCTTATATTGTTTTGGAATTAAATTGATAGAAACTCTTATAGATATTATTTATGATCATGTTAAAACAGGTGTCAGTAAACACATACTTGTATGTGATATTATTTTATATAAGAAGTACTTTTAAATTCATTGTGTGAACATTGCTATTAAATGTAATCAAGTTTCTGTGTACATGTAGATACACATGCATAGATTTCTTTGTATTAAGAAACTTAGGGTTTTTAAAAATGCTCAATTCCAATAAGAATGAGGTCAAAATTAGTAAAAGATAAATACAACCAAAATTCTTTACTGTTTTTATTGCCTCTTTTCGTTTGGAGCTTTAAAACTTATATTTATACATACCACATACACACACCTAAAATTTCAGAACTTCTAGATAAATGAAGATGATATAAATAAAGAATCTGACTAGGTACAGTGTGCATACATGTTTAAACATACTCTGCATGCTTTATATAGATGCATGTTTATGATATTGTTATATTAATTTTTAATAACTATGATTAATAGATTTATATTCTGTAATATTTCAAGTAGGTGTAAGAATTTTTTAAAAATGTGAACAAAGATTCCATATAGTATTCTAAAATACATTCATAAATTTATTTTAACAATGCAGAAAACACATAATTTATGGCACCCATCCAAGGCAATAGTTAAAAGAATGAAGCCACTTTGTTGCTTCTATTATGGAAAGTCTGTCATCTCCATTTTGAATCTTGGTATTTGTAACATTACTGTAAAATTTTAAAATAGATTTAGTATACTGATTCCATTTCCATGAAAGACATATCTGATGTGGCAATGGCTAATAAACGTTCAAATGTGACATATTACTTATGGTTGGAATAGTAACCTCTGATAAAACTAAAATTCTCATAAAACTAAAACTATGCAGTTCATATGCAGTTGCTAGTCAAAGCAGTTTGACTTCCTAAGTGGTGATTACTGTTTTATCTCACATAGGTCCCTGGTAGGTACACAGTAAACTGTAAGAACTAAAATATACCATATTTTCCCAAATTATTGATGAAACTTTCACCCTTAGACTCTCATAATAAGAGAATTGTCAGAATTGTTAAGACTTTATATATAAAGTATGTTGTTTGGATAGAAGACTCAGGAAAACCCTGGCAATAAATATAAAGTATAAAGCAGCATTCTTCTTAAATAGGTAGTAAAATCTAATAGGGTCAATAAAGAAGACTGTAAATCATGTTATTTCTAGGCCTCAAGCATGATTATAGCTGTATATGACATAGTTTAAGTCATAGTTCTATGAAGACATACAGAATTTATTTCAGTAGCTAATGTATATATTTCAATGCATACGAAAAAAAGTTATGAATATAATTCCCTTTCTTCATTAACTTGAGACATCCTCTTACACTAGCCACCTTAAAATGCACCAAAAGAAGCATTTTATAACACTTGTATTGTAATTTTGCTTCTTACACAGATTTCTTATGTTGCTTTTGTATGACTGTTATAACACAAATGCTATTTCAGTGCAACTGTGCAATCACTTTAGAGTACAGTTTCTGACAATTGTATTTTTGTGGGTGGGTCATGGTGAAAACATTGCTGATGATAAAGAAAACCATTGTTCTTTTCTCCTAGGCAGAATCTATGTCTGTTCTTTTGTTCTGGTGATAACTGCAGACAATCAATAAGGTCCAAAGCTGCTGGTTCCCCTCCGCCTAGGTCCCAAGAGCCTGACTTGTGATGTTACTAAAATACCTCACAAGTTAGGGTCTCAGGGACTAGGAAAAGTCTGGTTTGATGCAGTAGAATTCTTCTTCCAGAAATAAGGATAGCTCAGAAATTACAGTTGGGTTCACTTAGGCTTTTACCTCTAAATACTATTTAAAACACATAAGTAGAAATATATATGATATATAAAAGTTAAGATGAGCTGAGTAATCACGACGACCATTTACAGACTAATTCCGGACCTTAAAATAATGAAGAATATGAGAAACAATGCAGACAATGAACAGTTAAGAGTCATTCCACTAGATCCAAAGAAAGAGACTAAAAATGGGTTAAAAATTGATTTGTACAGCAACACCATAGCCTCTATTACATTAAAGAAGGATTATATGCCAGTTAATGGGACCCTAATTGAAATTTTGCTTCTCATTACATTGCTATACAGCACAACTGTTAAGGTGGGCCCAGGACATATAACACTTTAAATCGGATTAAAATATATACCGTTGCAGTTAAGAACAAAACAAAAACTTTTCTGCACGTCATAATTTAATACCTCTGAAGCTTGATTTTTCTCTTTGAATCTCCAAACTATTCAGACAGCAAATATTTCCACACATACTCTGTAGTTATTTGAGCAATGCCACTTAATAAACATGTAATTTAAAATGCTGGCAGCATCATTAAAAAAAAAAAAAAAAACCATGATTCTACTTCTTGAATAATTGAATTATGAAGCTCAGTACTTTTGAAAATACACAACCCCAATCCTGTATATTCACTGAATTTCCTCCGATCTTTTAGCCTTGTTTGTGGTTCGAGAACAGAATTTGTACTTTAGGAATTATCCAAGGTTTAGTAGCATAGAACGCAGGGTAAAACAATCGGACCAGCCATAACATAAAAGTCCTGGCCACAGAAGTGGAATCTGGTTCTTCTGAGGTAGCTGATCTTAAAAGAGGAGGGAAAAAAAAAA